CCCGAAACGCGATCGCGATTTGGGTCGACCCTATTCCGAATTGGGTCAGATTTCGATTTGGGTCAGAACATTAATATGGCTATATTCACTATATAATTACATTAATGTTTATTATTATTATTTATTTAAGTTTTAAAAATTAAAAGCAATAAAACTAAGCAACATTTATTGAAAGATTAACTTATTATGGTAATAGAAAACAAATTAAAGAGTAACAAAGAATTTTAGTCATTGTCAGTATAACTTGGTTGTGGGCAAGTAATATCTTTGAATTCATCTCTAACAAATGCACGAATTTTTTGGTAATAGTAAAGATATTCTTGCCTTTTGTAATCCAAAGGAGGAGGGGTTAGTATTAAGATGGAAAAGAATTTAATTTCTCCAGTAATTTTGGAAACAGTTGTTTTTCTGGTTTTCAATAAATTAAATTCGGTAAAAGCACCATTAGCAACCAGCTGAGCTTTGACAACTCCAGGATTGGCTGCTTCGAATACAAAATGCTGATATTTTTGTAAACCATTTAGTTTTTTAAAAAAAATTTCTAATACAGAATTCAGATCTAAGTATTGAAAGCCTTTGCCATTGTCATAACGTTGAGCTTTGTTTAATCCGGCTGTACTTGATTTTTTCACAACTTCAATAATATGATCTACGCAATCGACAGTTGTTTTTCGATAAAGCTTTTTAATCAGTCCGAAGCTACCATCACACTTAAATTTAGTATGTCCAGGTACCACGAAATTTAATTCGATACTTTCATAATTACCGCAAATTACTATATATAAGTAAAATCAAATACTTGCATTATTTTTATTCTGACCGCCGGCATTATTGCAAGTAATCTTTAAATGTTTCTCACCTTTATTCAATCGTTTAATTCCATCAAATACCAGGCTCGGCGTACCATTAGGACCTTTGCCGATAATTTCGTCTTCATCGAGAACGTAATTAATTTGTTCGCGTACTGCTTCATCATGTATACCAAATAAATGCACTTTGCGCGGACTAAGATAATAATTTTACTTACCTGTTGATTGGAATGGGGCACGTGAACATTTTGTGCTCAATCGTAACTGTAATGAGCCGTCGCGTCAACGCTACAATAATCAGCTTTACCTCCGGTTACAACGTAATTATCGTCTACCATTTTCCTTTGTTGTTCTGCTAATTTCGTATTTTTGTTGTAATAATTTCTTTCTAATTTGGTCTTAACTAAATGTTCTTTGAATTTTTTAGTAAATCTTTCGCTTCTTCTTCCTTACGAGCATTATCTGTAAGCCGTTCCGAAAATGTTGGCACGTGTCACATAAATCCGTTCGTGGACTCATGATTTGAATATAAGGTGGCGCTATAACTTGCGAAATGCGTCATATTTTAACAATTTCAATGTGCTATCGTTTTCAAGTCACATATAGCAGAAAGTTACTACATTTTTGAAATGTTGCTATAATGCTATGTTTATACCTGTCACTGATAATCGGGAATTTAGCTGCCACCTGCCGTTCTCTCACGCGTACGTGTAGGTAGGTATAAGATGCTTATCCTATCTTTCTGCGCTCTTTGTCCGCGCGCTCATAATACTCAAGATTCTTGAACCTTTTCCACTATCCGTGCTCAGATTCTCGTCGCTGAAGGCCACGCTTTGTCTTTGACGCATTACGCGTTTGCTCGATTCAATTCATTTCACCGGGTCTGTATTCTGTATCTATTCAGTGAATCTGGCGACCCACAGTATCCGGCACCCGTGTATGGCCGAGCTAAGTGCTCAGTGCTTAGCAACCCCTGCGGCTGTTGTTTAGACCCAAGGTCCGAGGCTACCCCGTGCAGTGTTATTCATTAGATGCTGCATGGCCTGCCGCCTTCCACCTTGTGTCTAGTATACTGGTCATAATGTTTCCTACACCCGTGTATGGCCAATCTAGGCACCCAGTGTTTAGTGACCCCTGCGGCTGATGTTTGGTAAAGATTTCCAGGAATACCCTCTTCGATGTAGTTCATCACTACCTCCTAGAGCCTCACGCCTCCATCTCTCTACCAGAAGCATTATGATAAGCCATATTTTTATTTATTTCATCTATCTTTTTCGTCTCTTTATTTTCCTCATGCTTATAACCTCTTCTATGTTTTTATTGTCTAATACTAGTATTAGATATGGACTTCAATGATCAGATTTCGAAGTACCTTGAAGATTGTAAATATACTAGCTGGAGTTTTCTAGGAGCCCTAAAGTATCTAGCAATCGATGTGAAGTACTCAAGTGCGGACCTACCTGCTATCAAGGAGGCCTTTCTGCACCATATGTGCAACAATTCCAGAAATCCTTATACAAACAAATCAGTAAAGAGGAAAGCCACAACACTTTGCACAAGCCTCTCAGGTGCTGCTGAGTGCCCAGAGGTTCAGCAATTCGTCCAAGAGCTAGACATTCGAAATGCTAATGTCAGTCAGATAAGCTGTTAACATAGTAAAAGGTTTTCAATTATTAAAAATTCTAATCAGATGCATTATTATAGAAGATTTATGACAACACTGTCGAGTTAGTTGTGGTTGAGGACAAAACAACCAAAGTGAAGCTAAGTGGTAAGAAATACACAGTGGTATGTGTTATCATTATATAATTCACAGTGTATATCATCAATCTGATATACTAATACTGTATTTGTATATTCTGTTTTTAAGAAACAAGGAGGTAAGCCATCAATTTTTTTCAATTTAGAGCCAAACATTAACATGTGCAAATTTATTTTCCCAAGCTCTGTTCCATCATCTATTTTGAACAGATATCAACAACACTCTGAAATGCAAGCAGAATGATGCATTGGACATGACAGACAGGGTAAATGAGGTAAGTGAAGAGTTCATCTGGTCTGGTGTAATAGTAATCATTTTTTTTGACTCTTGGTGGCCTTGGATTGGAATAACTTGTTGATTGTCTGTAATTTTGATATAGTAATAGCTCAAAGAGAATCCTTTGCTGACCGCATCTAATGAGGATGTGGAACAAAGGCCAAAATGCTCAACTCACTCAAGTGATGAAGAAGACGGGTTTAAAGGTCAAGGTATGAATCAGTAGAAAGTGAAGTCATATAATTAAAAATGACTGATCAAATTATTTAGTAATGCTATCCAATCTGTCAACAAAAAAGGGGATGACAAAAGTAATGAGAGAGACTGTGATGTTAGGGAAGATGAATTGGAGAAACAGGCATGGAGACTCTTCAGGGCAATGGGGAATGGCTTGTGGGATCTAAGAAAGTAAATGTCAAGGAGATGTTAACAAGTTGGCAAAGTATCAAAGAGCAATCACATGAAGAGTAAGTTGACTGCTGCTGCTAGCTTATTATTATTAGAGACATTAATGACTAAAACACCAATTAATGTAAATTTGGGAATTTCAGCTTGACTATAACGCGAAATTTACTATTATCGAAACTTACTACTATGAAACTTCATTTTATCAAGAGAAAATTTAATAAATCGGTTTTTTGTTCAGAGAAATTCTTAACTATAACGCGAAATTTACTATATTGAGACTTTACTATATCGAGTCTTGACTGTAAGTTCGTGTGTGGTGTAAAAACCAAAATGCAACACTCGAGTGTGTGGCGTAAAAAAATGAATTACGCCACACACCTGAGTGGGAATAACCTAATACTAAACGAAGTGGAAATAACATAATTATGTTATTTCCACTACATTATCATGAACTTACAAAATTGCGCGCCTATGGATGAAGAAACATATGGAAAATATATCAAACATAGACTTTTATGTTCCGTTTGCATCCTTATTAGCCCTCACGGTCATACATGCAACTTGAAAAAAGTGGGAATAACATAATCATGTTATTTCCACACAGTGTTAGTCCATGGTGCCAATAAAATTTTTAACAATCATAATGCAGATTTCGCTTTATTCATCGTTTCCCAAGGTTTTTCACCTGATAAATTATCACTCAATCCCGTCTCCGTTAGTTCAAATGTGCTTCAGGTTGAGTTCATTTTTTTTTAATAAATTTGCCTCTCTATTTGTTTATGTGCAGCTTTTAGTTGGTCGGGAACAATAATGCTAAACTTTCACTTTATTGGATAATGGACTGGTACACAAATTATAGTTGCACAAATTGGACGCCCGTTAAGAAACTTAAGAAAAACTTAAGAAAACTGTTGCTTTCCAAATGCCTAAACTCAAAATTTTTTTAGTTGATTAAGAATTTAAATTGTAACTTTTATTCTACTTCGTCTGCTCTATTATTCTTACGGATTAGTTTTTCTCTAACCCTCTAATATAAAAGCCTCGGGCTTTAGGTGTCTTGCGCCATAGGAGGATTAAATCAAGTCGCCAATTGCTTGATTTGAATATTTTCAACGCTTGGGAAATTAGTTTGCGAAAGATTAAATGGGATTATCCATAAGTTGATTTTATTATTCGAAATATACTGTCGAGATTGTCGAACTGTGGGGGGCTTTTCTTAATTTCGTTAGGTATAATGACAGTATTAACCATAACGTAAGCTTTACTACCCACGATCTCGATCCATCCCTCCAAAACGTACGTTTCATCTCAAGAGAATAACAGTTGTAATGCCGCGAGAATATCTGCTTCGATATAGGAACTAGCAAATACCGACAATTTACTCGACAACACTCATAATAGTTAGGAAATATCGCGTGTAACACTATAACAATCATGTGTTAAATTGTACTACTCCCAATTTATGTGTGTGTGACAATATTAATATCAGTATGTCTTCTAGTTGATGCTAGATAATGGGTGTTGCATACTCATCCTCCTGCACCATGACAAGATTATCTCATCCCAAGTGCGTATGCAAAGCGACCATCTGAGAAATTACGTAACAGAAAGGGACAATGAGCTAAAATTATAATGACGTAATACATGATCTTTGGTGAGCCTGGGATTAAGCAATTTGTTACTCGCTTCGCTCATTATTTTGACATTTTACAACTGGTGTTACGTCAGATGATGCAACATTTGACATGTGCGAGTTTAACATCCCATTCGCGCAGCGGGGGTTGGCGTTGTTTTGTTTATCATGATTCTGCCTTTTCACCCCATACTTTTTCAGTCTGTTCAACGGACGTCCTTGCATGTCTGTCTGTCTGTTTTCATGCGAAAGGACGCTTTCGTGACATTACTTCGAGAGTAAAAGAGCATAATGGGCAATATAGGCAATATGTACAGGGACAAAAGGCGAACGTATGGTTCGAGTACTTTGCCTGGAAGCATTCGCATTAGAGAGTTGGAATCTAAGGACTATGGTGCTGTACAGAGGATATACGGCAGTTGCATGATAGAGTGAGTGTTCTCACGTCTTGCAATAACTTAAATAAGAGATATTGCGAAAAGACGGATTGAATGTCTTTGCCCGTTATTTGTTTACAGAGTCTTAATTTCTTATTAACCCTACTTTTGGTTGCTTTTCATTCGTTTGACAGCAATATCCCATATGCAATATCTTACACGATGCAACATCGGTACATTCTCGTTCTATGGGTGTTTCTCACTTACGCTACGGTAAAGAATTACCCGGCCAATGGTATTCCGGTGGTGATTCTAATGCTCTGTGGGTGGGGAGTATTTATCTATCTGAATGTTCGTAAAATAATAACCCATGCCATAATCACCGAAGCACGCCGCGTGCTTTTGCATGATTTTTTTAATATTCATGATCATTACAAGATTCAAGCAACATCTACAGATTCGAATGACGACAAAGACAGTTCGCATGGACCGGAATCGTTATCTAGATTCTGGGTAGCTATGGACAAAGATGCTGGGAATAGAGTCGTTGGATTTGTGGCGGTGATTGAAAGAGAGGAAGACACCAAATTGACAGTAATTGACCGCGAACCGAGTGTTCTCTATTTATGTATTCTTTCTGAATATAGGTGTCGTGGTATTGCGACGGCATTGCTGGACCATGCCACCCGAGATATGTTTAAGCGAGGTGTAAAGTGGATATCATGCGTAGTGAACACGTGGCAATATCCTGCGTTGAACATATTTTATAAGTTTGGTTTTCGGGAAGTTGCGCGCGCATCTGTATTTTATGGGTTTACCGAGAATGTAAAGATGAGATTGGATATCGAGGAGTGGGATCGGTGTCGTAAGGCAAGAAGAAGGAAAATAGATGAATGAGGGTTGGATTATGTGTGTTGTGTATAGCCGGAGGTCGTAGGACGTATGTAATTAACAATAGATGAGGTATAATTTTAATGATTACTAAATTATGGATTTTTATACTATCTAGTTATATTATCGTTTAATTAGGATAAGTTTTTAATGCCTGTAATTTTTACAGTCTCGCATGAGATAGCTTTATCGGCACTCAACGAAATAAGTATCGTATTAAATATTATTATCTTTTATGAAGGATAATATTTGAACAATGCCAGTTGTCTCAGCAAAGGGTGATTGTTTTGAGAATGAAACCATTTTGTTTGAGTATTTGGGTACAAAATGAACTCTATGATTATGTGATGTAACACTGTAACTAACATTGAGCATTCCGTTTATTGAGAGACAGATGCGTCGGTCTGTGGCAGCTCAAAGACACGAAAATATCAAGTAACGCGAGCGGTTTTCTGTTTTCGAGCGCGTGGTCAATAACAGGGTTTATTTTACAACGGTTTCTGTGGAATTATTATGATTTCCTAGACGCTGCTGCGCAAGCAGAGAGAAAAGCAAATGTACGGAGCTTGGCACTCAGAAAAACTGTTAAGTTTGGATTCAATGGAAGCAATCGTTAAATCATGGTAAGACAAATTGCACAACTTACGGTAAAAGCTTTTTATATAGAAAGACTTCCACTCAAAGAATTTTAGACTTTCATTTGTGCGTGAGCAAGTTGGATGATGAAAGAAACCGGGTACAAGCCTGAACTGAATACTATCAGCAAATAGTATGATGAAAATTCTGACATTAGTCGGAAGCTAGAAAAGCTTTAAGGAAAGTTGGGATGTCGCTTGTTTGATTTTACATCCCAAGTTGTTCTCAGCCACTCGGCTGGACCATGTGTTGGCAGCGGGAAAGACTGCTTGTTTGCTGAGGAACAGTGCGTTTTGTGTGTAGAACAGCACACTACTCGTATCCCAATAAGGACACCAATGATATCAAACAACAATTCAAATCAAAGGAGAATTGCAATCTTTCGATTTGGTATTTTGGCTAGTTTATATGTCTCGTCACTCACTATTACTTATCTTATATGATTATAACATTAGTCTAGTTTTGTCGAGGGCTATTCGCGTAATTAGCGTACAAATATCTTTCGAACGTTATGGAAAAGTGAGTTATTATTTCACGAGCATCGGGTGCTCAGAATTATAAGCATTTAGAGAAATAATTTCTTTCACAACCAATAATAATGATAATGGCCCCCTGGCGCAGAATAAAAGCTAAAAGCTTCCCCCCTTTGTCGAACTCTATCATTTGTCGCAACAATTGGATTTGCAACAGATTATATTTATTGATCTTCTTCCGCATTATGCTTCGCGCTTACAAATCCTAATTGTTCTGTCAATCGATCAGAATTAACTTACCCGTCCCGTGGACGCATGACTTACCGATCCGATCGTCATAGATACTTTCTTACTTCCCCCAATCCACTTCCTTACTCGTCTAACAAACTCTTTTACTAAGTTTTTCTACATAATGGTATCTCTTCAAAGTTTCCTCAGCCTTGTTCAATGTCTTCGACGTATTGCTTTTGCGTTTGTTTTGCTTGATAATAACTCTGGCGTATTCTATAGTAAAAATAATAATTATATTACGTATTCAGTTAAACTAATACTTCAAAAACTATGATAGTTTGTAATGATGACAAACGTAAACCCAATTAGGGTATTTAGTTATTTGCTTCAAAACTGAGGCAAATTAGACATATAATATGATGTGACAATAAACCCTGATATTTCACATGCCCAATATTAACGTATTGACGAGGCGGCTAGTTATGTTATAATTATGGCAAGACTTAAAATGCTGATAACCCTTAAAAGGTCAGCAGTGTCACCTGAATTGTTCAAATTTGTATCCTCTGATATGTGAGTTGCTATGACAATAAGCTATTATTTGGCAACATTTAAAAACCCGAACATCATATACAAATATGCCCATCAGCTATGCTGAACACCTTTAACCTATCATATGGCATCCACAAGCCCAGAAGACTGTATATATCTTTTGGGTTAGAGGAAATTGTCGTCGGACTAAGCGTAGTAGACTAACATCTGATGAGATTTGATAAGCAAGTTTTGTTTAGAATTTCTGCCCCAAATTCTTACGTACAGGGGTTGGTATCACTTACACGGCGGTAATCGCCTGTGATGTCAGACTTTATGGGTTCAGAAAAGAATTTCAAAGTTTAACAGTACCTTTACTAGATACATATCAGACTTTACACCCGGAAACATGTCTTCGAAGAGGTCTTGTGGATAATTATGGCCAGTGAATGCGTCTCCATATTTTCTTTGCAACAAATGAAACATGATACGGGATCCTCGTCTGTGTTAGTAAACAATGATGTTTTAGTCATTCGTCTCACGATTACTGTATACAAAGGCTGGGTTTCTCATAGTTAAATGGTACGGTTTTTCCGGCGTACAGGATAGATGTCTAGTCACGTCTTAGATTGTTAACACGATGCGCCGCCACCCATAAGATTTTAGATGTTGAATGGATATCGTCTTTAGATTGGATAATCTTGTTAATTTAGTGAAACAAACAAGTAGAAAGGAATTGACTGATAAGTAATATACTGACGCATCATTTGTCGTGGTCTTGCATTATAGGTGAGAGAGAAACGCCCGGGATGATATAAGTACTCTTGATGTTTATCTATTACTATGTATAGTCACTGTATAAGCTTTGGTCTGAAACAGATATTTACTCTTGCATAGTCCAAGAGCAAACAAACGAGACTCATAAAATCACCGACATTCGCTTTGCACATGTAATAATTTGCGTGCCGGCAAGAAGTACATGTATTAATATAAATGTGCAGATATACTCAATCGGGCCGCAGAAGAAAATTTTCAAATACGTTCCGCGTGTTCTAGACACATTAGTCTTTAATATATAGGTTCATTCTTTGCTTGATGTGTATGTCGGCACTAAATTCCTCTGCTTTGACTGTTTTAAGGTCATGCAAAGACTTACCATCAATTTGTTTTTTTCAATAAGAAGTTGATGTTAAAATTCATAAGCTTTTCAGAAGACAAGACGCTGATGTGAAGCTTTGGAGACATCGGTAGAAGTCAATTTTCTTTACCATCGAATGCAGGCGTACGCCAGAGAGACGAGAAGTAAACCATAATATATGAAAAGAAGGAGCAAATGATTCAACACAAAGAACTGCCTTAATTACTTAACAAGGAGTAATTGCGACTAACAATGAGTCTTTAGGTAATACGATCAGAATATTTTTCCTAAACCGATAACAAATAATTGACATTGTAATTGTGTTAAGTATCAGTATGACGTAAAGAGTGGCCGTGATAAAATGGCGTTTAAATTTCAGTAATTTCTTGACTGTCGTAATTGGAAAATGTTTACTGGAATTCTTGTATAAATATAATTGGTTGGTTTAGTATTAGTATAGTTTCACCTTTTAATTTGTGTTAACATTAATCGAAGTTGATGGAAGGTTTTTTGAACGTGACGCTTTGACAGGGTTGGCCCCCTGAAATCGTTGTGGCGTGCCATGCTCTTTCAGTCAAAGTGTTGCCCCATTTAATACCATAACTGTACCGACTTATAATGAAATTACTAGCAATCATGTCACTGGCATTATTTTTAACTAATAATAACTGGTATTTTTCCTTTTGTCTCAATAATAAAGACGTAAAGTAGTATCATTATTACAGTAAACAAATAATCGTTGCAGCAATAACATAATGCAATCGGCTCATCTGTTGAACATATTCTTTAAATCAACCATTCCGACGCACTCTTCCCATAAGAATCAAACATCGATCCGTTCCCAATCACGAACAAAATCATTCTTATTTCTGATGACGTATTAGTATGTATATATATATATTTCTTCAACAAAACTAGACTTGACAGAAAACCAGTCAATAGCATTCGTATTTAAGGTAAGTAGAACTCTAGACACGCCTACTTTTACACAACTCAAACACAGACACATAACGAATACGTATTTAGGCTGAATATACGTCTTCATAGTGGTATATACTCCGCCCTACTTGACATACTCATCACCACAATTACGTCTCCCTGTTCTCTAGATCAATCTAACAATGATGGCGAGTTCACATACCTTCCAGCCCGACGACTCACTCCCCCATCCACCAACTACACTCCAACAACAACAGCTAGCCACAAAACAGGCAGTCATATACAACAAGTCAGGTACAAAATGCAGGAATATTGTCAAAGAACAACAGACACTACTATCCCCCGCTTGCTCTCCTCCACGCAAAGATTCAGACCTTCAACCAATCCAACATCAACAACCAGCATTGAACGGAACAACAAAAAGGAAGAAAAAGAAGAAAGCAAAAAGAAAACACTCTCACACAGACAACGATCACTCTCTCACTCACCCACAACAGACGGAGAAGCACAACAACACTGTTCTATCTGCTGACGACCACGAGGAGTTGGAGGAAGATTGCGAAGAGTTTTCGGACGACGACGGCTATGATCCAGAAGCTCCTGGAATACCTTTTCCTCGCCGAGATTCCGCTACTGCCATAAACGGTGACAATTATCAATCACCGCAGCCTGGCTCAAAGCGAAAGAAGAAAAGGAAGAAGAACAAGAATAATAGTAGCATAAATGATATAAATACAAGTAATCATCATAGCAATAATCACAAACCTCGCAAAGATGGTATCTGGAACACCAATAATCGCGAAGAACGTCAACGCATAAGAGAATTCTGGTTACAGCTAGGCGAAGAGGAAAGAAGGAGTTTACTTAAAGTAGAAAAAGAAGCTGTATTAAGTAAGGTGAAGAAAGAGAAGCGTCCATGTTCTTGTACTATGTGTGGGCGTAAAAGGTTCGTATTATCGACGATCTCTTGGAATAAGGTGAAGGATGTCATTTAGCGGACAGGGAATTTCACGAGCGTGAAGCTAAAAGGTTGGGAAATGATGTGGGAATGATTTGAGCATGCATAATAGGGATGAGAAAACCTTGATTAGCGGAAGAGACTATTGGGAAAATGAAAGATATTAGGCGTAAATACTAGTCGGGAAAAAGTACATATCCTTTTCTTTCTCTGCGTATGCAACATCTTGGTTTATTTAACGATGCTGAGTATGGACATACCATGAAATGATTTTGTCAGTATCAACACGGAAGTAGTGCTTACTTGGCAATTCCAACATGATCGTGCCCTGAAAAGAATTCTTATCAATGCGTAGTAAACGCTCTATTAGCACATTCATTGGTCATGAATACTTCACCTAGAGTGCCACCGATCATTGAAGATGAACTATTTACCAGAACCTATGCTAGTTTCAAATATGGTTAAGCAATCTCCAATAGTGATTGGGCACGGCACTTAGGTTCCATCATATGTTAAATTACACGATTAACTTATCTTTCTCCATGCACCCTCAACATCTCTAGAACCGTCATACAGGAAGAACTTGAAGCTCTCTATGACGCATACTGCGAAGATCTAGAACAATGCGCTAATCAACAGCAACAACAGCGACAACAACAATTCCCCTCATCCACTATTGATTATCGAAATGGAAATCGCGAGTATGAAGATGACGAGGAAGACGATGAAGAAGAATGCGATGAGGAGGAAGAGGAATATGATGGTAGCTCGCATGGAAGTGAAACGCGTAGAGAAATATTTGGATTTGCAAATAGCCTAACTGCAAAAGGTAAGTAGAAATATTTTGCTCTGTAGAAAAAAAAAGAAAAGAAAAGAAAAGAAATAGGTAGCAATAGTCGGTTGGAACGGGTTGAAGAAGGGGAAGGCAATGTATTGAGAAGGTGATGGGCCGAAGCAATACAAGAAAAGAGCGAGAATATGAATCACAAGGACAAGTGTAAAGATAAAGGAATGTTAAACCGACACAATCTTTACGTCAAGATTTTCTCGTGGCTACAAATATCCTCCCATGCAATCCATTTTCCCCCTCCCCTTCTCTACTCCCCCTTCTCTCTCTTTCCTTAGCCACTCCATGCATTCCTCTGAGCTCAATACATTATCGCGGAGCAAGGCCGGGAGAGTACTTGTAACTAGTTCCTTCACGGATAATAAACAACAGTTACTGATATCTATGCACTGGCTTAGGAGGCATCTTGACTGTGGCTGATGATCTCCTTATGAACGACGGAAAGAAGTTTCTGGAAATGATGGAACGTCTGGCTGAACATCGTACGCAACGCGAGGAGGAGGATCAGCAGCGTGAGGACGAGGACGATGATGATGACTATGATGACTATGATGATGATGAGAATGAGGAGGTATGGAGCTTGTATCGAGATACTGAATTTAGTCGTATTGTAGGTCCAGTGTTAAGTATTGTAGATAAAAGGTTCACAACTTTATAATAACCACTGCATTTTGGTCTGTAGGAGGTAGCGACCGAACAGCAGCGTATGGAGCAGAGTAAAAAAATGTTTCAGGTCTTTGCTGCCGAAATGTTTGGACAACGCGTCTTAGCTGCTTACAAAGAAAAGGTTTGTCATATATTGAATATGAAATATAATTCATCATGCAAATTCGATACGGAAATGGTTTTGTTACCAAGTCCAGTAGTATTTCATGTCATGGTCACTGTAAACGTTGTTAAAACAGATATGATTTTATTGTTATCATCATCAAATATTAGGTGGCTCAAGAACGACAGAAAAAGTTCTTGGAAGAACTAGAAGAAGAAAATCGTTTAAAGGAAGAACGTGAGCTTAAAAAACTAAAAGAAAAAGAGAAGAAGAAGGATAAAAAGAGGTCTGTGACAAAACGTATCTTAATATCAAGTCACTAGTCAATCGTTACTCAAATAATTGAAAACCGTAGAGCTATGAAAATGCAAAAGATAGAAGAACGACAACGCAAGGAACAGGAACGTGCCGCAGAGGAAGCTGCTCAGCGTGCAGAACGCGAGCGTAAAGCTGAAGAAGAACGTAAAAGACGTGAGGAGGAACGTCAACGTAAAGAAGCTGAGCGCAGAGCTCGAGAAGAAGAGCGACTACGAAAAGAAGAAGAAAAGAGGCGAAAAGCAAGAGAGGAAAAAGAACGAGAGGAACGTCGTCGTAAAGAGCAGGAGGCGAAGGAGCGTAAAGAGCGTGAAGAACGTGAACAGAAAGAACGTGAAGAAAGAGCTCGGAAAGAACAAGAGGATAGAGAGCGCAATAGGCGGGAGGAGGAGGAAAGGGAACGAAAGTTAAGAGCAGAGAAAGAAAAGGAGGAGAAAGAGCGTAAAGAGCGAGAGGCGCGGATGCGTAAAGAGATAGAGGAACGAGAGAAGCGAGAACAGGAGGAAAGGGAACGAAAGGAGCGAGAAGAAAGACAGCGTGCGGTCTCTTTACCACTTACAAGAACTTTACCACAGCAAACGTCACTACAACCACAACAGCTTGACCGTAAACAGCGACCTATTCCTCCTCCCATTGGTCAATCATCAATAACGCCAACGTCTGCTCAACAAAATATAACTTCCAAGCCAAATATGCCGAATGGTGGAATACCTGGATGGTATCCTTCATTCGAATCTCAACAAGCATTGAATCAACAACACGTCCAGCAACATTCAGTCCAACAGCATTCCATAAATCATCCATCTCTCATTCCCCCACCCACGCCGCACACACCGCATACTCCTCACACGCCACATACGCCGCATACTCCTCACACGCCTCACACGCCTACTCACCTCTTCAGTCCTACATCACCACAGTCGCCCTACGGCCCTCAACCAACGCCAGGTTTAAATGGACATATTCCTTTGTCGGGTGAACTAATAAATGAGGGATATACAAACAATAAGAAAGTAGTAAGCCCAAATCTACAACAAACGAACACTATATCGGGAATAAATCCCAATCCATCATTATTTGCATCGGGTCTGCCACCGATGGGCCTTGGGGTGCATCCTCATCAACACGGCCCACCAGTAATGCATTCACATCACCAGCAACTTCGCCAGCCGATGCCTAACCCACGCGGATATAACCCCATTGTTCCTAATCCTCATATTCCCATTCCGCAATCTAATGTAGCATCATCCAATCTAGCGTTATTGAATGAGCCAGTGGTGATTCCGTCAGCGACTGGTATACCGTCGGCTGTGCCGCCAGTTGCGTCTAATCCTAGCGCAACTTATGCCCCAATCCCTTTTGGTGCTCAGAATCCATTAACTACACAAACATTCGATCTTGGTACTCAAGTACGTCCACAACAGAATTTAGCAAGTCCAGGAGTGATGTCTAATGTAATACCTAATCCATTACCAATTGGATCTCGTCGATTGAGTACCCCCCACGACGACACACACTTGATTCAACCAAGTGTATCATCCAAGGCAATACATAGACCAGCGCCTATACAACGACCAAGGAAAGGGTCTTCAGGCTCAATTGGTACGCAGGTTGAACGTACTATCTCACCACCACCCGGGTTTGGTGGAGTAGTTGGACCCAGCGCGTTGAGAAGTGATGAAGAGCCTGTTGCACCGTTGTCAAGAAGGCAGAGCGCTGTTACTAGTAGTCCGCCGCAATCTTATTTCTCTAATTCTTTATTCGAGTCTGACTGGAGGTTAGTAAAAGTTTCCGGAATTTCTACAGACCAATTAAAACGGACAATCACGTGATAATTTCATTCTTTTTAGCACATATTAACCATAAATAAATTTTTTTTAAATGAAAAAAATTTAATTCAGCTTTTTATGACGGTTTAATGTTGTAATTATAACGGAACTAGAACGCCTTCAATTCAGTTACGGCAATCAACCTGCTTGGCATACTGTTTGAATTAATTATTATTAGTTTGATGATGGATCATTATATATAGTCCCAATCACTGCATCACCAAATTTGGTCCAAAATAACGGAACTATTTTTTTAATGTAATTGCTAGAAATCGTGTATTTTTACAGGAAAGATCATGTAAAAATCTTAATGAGTCGATTGCTAAAATAAAAAGGTCGAAAAAAGTAGTTTATAGAAATCATTCTTTGTCTCCTCTGATAATTTAAGAATTTTTTACGACCTTCCGAATAAATACATAAAAATAAATAAACGTTTCTTCGTCTGCCGGTATCTAATATAACTGGTTAGCGAGCCTCCCGATACTGGTTGTGATTTGTCAAAGACTTATTTAATCTATCTATACAAATTGTATAATTTCACAAAGGTTGTCATACACATGCTAAAGCCAAAAATCAGATATTTGGAGAGTGAAATCATGCTGGTTAACTGGCCGTTACCGTCTAAATAGATTGCTAGTACTTTGTGAAGTGGGTACCAATACGTGCCTAATTCTCGATACATTTGAGCATGAAATAAATACAAGATTCACCGTCGATATTACAACGCAGGTAACTGTGTCCACCAGTTCACAGTCTCGTCGCCCTTACAATTTTTCTTATATCCCTGCGACCCTGGCCGCCATTCTACATACTCGATGGCAGTGACCGATAACAACACCTCAACACTCAACCAGAACAATGCACAATCCGACATCCAATCAGTGTATTCGTTGCATACCCGACAGTCTCTATGGTGATATCTGGACATTTCGATATATCAAGGAATCTTAGTTTCCCCGGTAAATGTTTACATAATTCTCTAATACTGCCATCATTGATATATCGACAATATCTCAAAGTCAACTTGGTTAGATTTGTACATTTTCTAGCCAATGACACGATAGCCTCGTCACTCACTGCCCAATCTCTCACGTCCAGCTCACTCAAAGTATTTCCGAGATTCGTTCCAATAGCATCAATAACCTTGTCCAGAATGTCATCCTCTGAATTAATATCAACACCGCCTATGACTAGAACGCTCATATTTCTACACGCGTTGATCAATTCAATAATAGATCTTAACTCGGCGCGAATAACATCGAGCCTGAACTCGATCAAATTAGGACAGTGTTCAGCTAAAGCTCTAATACCCTCCTCTACCGAATCGGCTGCCCCGCACGGAAGCATTACCAACTTTTTCAAATTCTTGTTACAATGTTTAGCAAGGGCTATGATAGCTTCTTCAGTTACTTTGGTTTCGGAAAGGTTGACTTCGGAAAACATTTGTCCAAACATGAACGTATCGAACGTAGTGTCAATCACGCCTAAACATTCACTCAGATCTAGACTCCGCAAGTTGGTAAAATTCAATCCATTCATAACGTCAAGTATAGAAACTATGTTAATTCTCAAATCAGTTATCTTGGCAATGACCCCAGCAGACAGCCTAGTCAGCAGTAGACGAGGAGAAGTAGTCACTCTAATACAAAACTCTTTCAGATGTCCATCTTCTTGTGCCTCAATTACGGACGATAATGATGCAGCCGAACACGCTTTGACCATAGACCTGAATTCATGCAAGCGTCGACAGTTTTTGGCTATTAGGTCCAATATCTCATCAGTAGCCTCATATTTTAACAGATCCAGACGACATAAATTGGGAAATCTGCTAATAACTGTTTTCAATATCTCGGTATTCACATGCCAACAGCTAACAAATGTTTCTACATTAGAACAGCGCTGGGCGAAAGCTTTTGACAATTCCATAAACGAGTCCTGAATCATATTCGTCATACCAGCAAACGGAACAAGCGCCAAACATTCGGCCTCGATAAATCTGTAAATAATGGGTAAATTGATGTCTCGAGTATAAGCGATATAATCGAGCAAACTAGAAATTGCCGTGGGGATAGAAGAAACTATAGCAGCAGCAGCTCTTCCACAAGTCACTGTTTGAGCTGCACGAGTCATGACAACCTCAAGAAGAGGTTTATCTAAACAATTCATATACGTCCTTATAAGCAACGGTCCTCGTGGATCATCATCTTTTCTTAGCTCTCCTTCTTCGTCCTCTACACCAAAAAAGCGCCATGGATTCTTATATAGTATTGGTGCTGTAAGACGTGCAAATAGACGACTTGTGCGTATACATCTATTCAAAGCATCAGGTTCATCGAAAAGATGAAATATTATCTCGTGAATACATTCTACAGGAAGTGGTGTAGGTGATGTGAAACCGGACATTGAAATCAATCTGACTGAGAGGGAATGTAGTTGGGATCGTTCTTTATAGGCTAGGCTGCTCAACACGTGATATTATTGAAAACAATCTGACTAAGTGGCATTCTATACTTTTTGTTTTAGGCAATATCAATATGCCTTTTGGTTACGAATAGTCACCTGGACAGCGCAGGACAATGAAGTTGATTCCATAATGAGCTGGTCCCGTGTAATAAATTAATATAAGTGATAGTGACATTCAAAAATAACCATATTAACTAGTACATCCCTAATTCGGAGATAGGGAATGTGCAAAAAAGGCATAATAATAACAATAAACCAAGTACGAACAAAGTTACTTGCCAGACGAAAACTGTGGAAAAGCTTTAAAAACTTGTTTGACAAAAAAGGTCGGCTGGGATCCGAAACTTTCATTTAATCAAATGACAACTGAAACCCGCGAGTTACGCGAAGGAAGAATGGATTAATAAAAATAAAGAAACAGATTAATAGTGACGATATTATCAATAGCAGTGATATAAAAGAAGATAATGAAATTTAAATTTGCACCAGTGTGACCAAATAATAGGTTATACTCATTAATGGCTATGGGTCCGAGTATTTTCCTCACTTTGGTGCCTTTATATCTCAAGAACACACATTCGATAATCGAATAATAAAATTTATGCTTACGAAGAAATTGGAGTCAAAAACTACAAGAAATGCTAAACTGCTTTCCCTTACTGTCTTCTGATTTTCGTTTTTTTTTCTTAGTTTTATTGAATTTGGGTTTAATGGTTTATTATCATTCTTCCTGGTAAATTCATAGGTAATCTTTTCTTTATCTAAATATTCCTCAAAAATTTTGGTGCCATAGTCATTCATTTTAAAAACATAATAATAAGGGCCAATTTTCTCTCCTTGAGCTTTTTTTAGAATGCTTCTAATGGTTCTGTAATTCTTTGTGTTCATTGTGGATTTGATGTAAATTAGTTTCATTTTTATTATTATTATTATGCACAGGTTTTTTCCGACACTGGATATTGACAATATAAAAAACATATAATGGGGCAGACTGCAACAAACCAGACAAAGTGAACATTCTGTAAATGAGGGGTTAAGGGAGGCATTCATTTCGCCGACAATCATTTCGCCGACAGGTACATTTTACCGACAAAAACTATCAAAAAGGGATAATTTTAAAATAATGCTGGCGAAAATTTGTCGGTGAAATGATTGTCGGCGAAACGATTGTCGGTGAAATGAACCGGACCCGATGTTAATGTGACTGTAAAATTGACCAGTGTGAATGATGACGTTTTGGAAAGTAATAATGGTAAATGGTGTTCATCATAACTTATTATTATGGACTTGTAATTTAATGCTCACTTTATCATCCCAGAAGGTGATGAATATAAACCATAACAGGGTTAATATAGGATTACCTCTATATATAAAAATATAATATGAAACTAATTTACATTAAATCCACTATGGAACCAAAGAATTACAGCACTATTTGAAGCATTCTAAAAAAAGCTCAAGGAGAAAAAATTGCTCCTTATGTTTTTAAAATCAATGACACCCAAACTCTCCAGGAATATCTAGATCAAGAAAAAATCACTTATGAAATTTATCAAGAGGAACAGAAAATCATAACTACTAAACGAGCATTAGCACCAACATTAACACATGATGAACTAAGAAAGAAAAGAAGACTGGCAGAATAAACAATCAAGTCATTATTAGAACACCTTTTTTGTGTTTCCAGCAACTTTATCTATCACTCATCCTCTTCACTATCAAATTCATCACCTTCCGCTTCAGCAGGTTGATTTCATCAAGCAATTATTTTTTTCCGACGAATAAAAGCTCAAATTAGTCCTCCCACTAAAGTTAGTAAAACTAGTCCGGATAAGATAGCTAAAGGATTACTCCACGTTCAGAACACTTCTGGTTGCTGATCCTTAAAGGGCTTTTCATATTTCCGAGTAGCATGATTTTGTCCTCCTAACTTTTCACTATAGTATTTAATGATTCCTTCTTCAGTAAATTCTTCCCCATTTCCATTAATGGATCGATCTAATAAGATTAGGTTATCTTTACTGTTTTTAAAGTTTTTCATTTCCTGCAAGATTTCTGCTTTCAGATTATTATTCCCTTTGATTTCTTGTAAAGCAATCGTTCCCACTACTACTTCGGAATCGCGAGTAAAGAATCAATCTAATCAAGCTCGATTGTCAGCACTCGCTTCGGGAAGATTATAAGTATCATCTTCGACTAGTTCTGGTTTTTTAGATAAGACTTCTTTGCAATATTTAATTATTGGAGCTTGGATTTTAGATCCTGGTTTATTAACTCGCTTGGCTAGTTCTTCAATTTCATTGGCCTTAACTTTGAAATCAATATTTTGGGAATAAGCAATTCATTTTTTAGTTAAATCCCGAAACACATTAGTTTTAACTCCTAAGGCCGCTTTCAGTTCCATGGGTAGAATTCTCCTTTCGAGAGGAACTGGACCATGTTCCAAATAGTGATCAATTTGATCTAACTCATTTTGTTCGACAGGATCTAACCCTCGATTTAAGGAATTTAAACAGTCTTTGATTTCTCTTAAATGAGCTCTTACTACTTCCTCTTTATAATATTTACCATCACTATTTTTTCAATTTTTTAACCTTTCAGTAAAGTAGGTGCCAAAGCTAATTCAATTATAATATTTACCAAGTATAGCATCAGCTTTTGCTTCAATCTGATCTAACTTGGTTTTTTCCCCATCAATATCAAAGGTGTCATCAGTTTTTAATGCTTCTCAATGTTTAATCCACCCCAAAACATTTCTCATAAATAATAGTTTTTTATAAGTTCTATTTCCTGGTTTATCTCAAATAGTTCTAAATTGAGTGATTAAACCACTTACACGTAATTTTTTAGCATCTTCTTTTACTTTCTCAGCTGCTTGTTTTCATCATTGACTTTGATTTGTTTAACACTAATTTCTCTTAATTCATCAACTTTCTTACCTAACTTAGCACCCTCTCCTTTTTAAATGTCATCACTCTAGCATGATGCAAGTCTGATTCATTTACATTATTTATTACAGTAATTCGGAATTAGTAATTAGTTATAAGAGCGACTTTTCTCAAGTTGCAAAGTTATGCTCAGCTTTTCATAGCTCTAGAGCTTTCACACTCATGCAGTTCAAAACGAGTTTTGACTAATAAAATATTTATCCTTGAGATGACATCCAACTGTCCCACTTAAAAGATAAATCTAAAACGACTTTAGGTCATTAGTACATGTAATTTCCTCTCACCATCTGTAAAGAGTTTATATGATAACTGGGTCCTTTTGATCCACTCAGAAAGGCTGCCTACATTATCATGTAAGATTTCAATTACAACAAGCATCTTGCTTTATTCCTAATATCAACATTATTCTTTCCAAACAAAAAGTCATTAATGATGATAACAGATTTGGGTTCCATTGGCCAAAACCTTTGAGTTCAGTTATCAACGTAAGTAATTATGATGTTAAATTTTAAATACGGTTTAATAAAATACACTTACATATGTCCAACTTTTGGTATTCTGACAAATATAGCATCAGGGATTTCATTTGCAAGCAATTCCCCTTCTTGAATAGAAACAAGTTTATCAATTTCACCATGAATTATCAAAGTTGGCACTTTAATCATGTGCAATTTTGAGGCAAAATTTGACTGTTTTATAGCTTCCCATTGCCGTTCTACAAGTAAATTTGTTATTAGTTTTCACTTTTAAATTAAACATCAAGCATAACAAGCATGGTTCCAAGAATAATACAAACTAAACATTTCAAATGGCCTGCGAGAATTGAACAGAACCTCAGTCAGTTTATCAAACGTTTCTGGCTTTTTGAGAAGGTAGTCAATAAAGTTTTTTTCGAACAGGACTGTAATTTCCTTCCGCTGCTCTTGTAAGCTTTTCGGGTAATCCCACTTCGGTAAATGATACAGGTTGTCAAAACTTGCATTTGAAACATGAACCCAGCTGTAGTGACAGTCAAATTTGTGGATAAGTAAAACGTTTACATATGTATGTATAATGTATGCATTTTACCTTGCACAAACAATTAGTTTTTCTAATTTAAGAGTAGGAGGTATATTTAACGCAACGCAAAGTGCTATTTGACCTACAATTGACAGATCTTGAATATGAATAAAAGTACTATTATATTACACTTGGTTATTGAGAATTACCTCCCATAGACCATCCTAACAGATTAAATTTTGTGATTGCAAGATGCTTGATTAATGCTATTATATCTTGTGCCATCAACTCAATTGAGCACGGATCAGTTTCAGACGCAACGGTTGATTCTCCGATTCCACGATTATCCAATACAATTACTGTTCAATAAATGTTACAAGTATTGTAAATCGTTTACAAAATACGATGAAGAAAATAGCACATACCTTTTCGATCTTTTGCTAATTCTAATATCGCATTAAAGTCAGTTAAAAACGTGGGATATAGCTTATATATTACGTGTCGATAGGTAATTTACCTTTTTCCAAACCCATTAGTATTTCTTTAGTAGACCACCTATTCATATGTGTCGATTAAAACCGCAAATCAAATTAAAAAAATGAAAAGCGGTTTGTTACAATGATAAGCGACGTTAGAACAATCAGATTATTGATACGAATGTATATATTGTATATATTGAATGAATTATTACAATCCAATAATCATCACAAGAGGAATCTCATCTGTTGTATCTGACTTGTATGGTTCATAAATCTTGTACGCAATTCGCGAACCATCCTGTTGCTCGAAGAAGAGAGATTCGGACATCTTGGTTTGTCGCTGCAAGCTGGCATATGTTATTTGTACAGCTGACAGGTGTAACACAAGTACTCGTGGGAATCATAATTCACGATGAATATGCTATTTCGCAAATAAATTCAATTTTATGCGTCGATAGAAACAGTTACTCCGTATTTAGCAAGATAAAGTTTCCATAGGTAAGTTATTGACGTTGCCATTTAAACACTAAGCTGTTGGAAGTGATTCTTATCACATCATTTTTATTGTATCATAATATGCTTAGGATGCAACCTTCAATCTGACAAGAATTTGAATAGAAACTTTTTCTATTTACTTAGATGCCAGCAGTTTCGATCGTACGTTCATAGAAAGCTCGGAATTTTGCGCTTCGATTTCTGAATATTAATATGCTTGCAAATCGACGTAATGGGAATCATAAAGTAAGCTTCTCGCCTTCTTTTCACCAATTTCACCTCTGCTATTTTTAATAATCTCATTGAACTGAACTCTGAAATCCTTTCCATAAATGGACCAACATAATATTTCTTCTTGGTTAGCTCTATTTGCACCATCCTCAGCATCGAAGCTTTATCACATAACCTGAGCGATGCTTCGTCAATATACAGTCTGTCTCAAAAAAAAACCGGAATTGGAAAAAAGACAATTACACAATAACCACTGTAGCAAACAGCATAAATAATAACTTGTTTGAAAGACAAAAAGGGATAGATTTTATTAATAAATTTTAGTACGGAATTCGCTCTCCATTACTTTCAATAACAAGCTTACAACGC